TGGCCCCGAGACCGCCCTGCGGTCTTCAGACGATTGTCAAACGACTCGTCGTAAAACACACGCAAGACCGAGACCATCGGCCTCCTTGCGTTCCGCGCGCTCTGTAGCGCTTCGACAGGTTCCGACAGATCCTGCTATTGCCGTGCACTGCGACACGCTACGAAAAGCGGTGCACGCGCGGTACGTCCTGAACGTCCTGAACCCGCACTCGTATCGATATCGTGATTAAACTAAAAAACATACCCATGTCCTCTTGGGTATATCACCCTCCTTCCCTCCTTCCCTTCTCCTGATGATGCATTGTAGCGTCGATTCTGGGTCGTGTGAGCATCGACCTAGATTGACAATAGCTCTACACCGTGCCCATCCTGTGCGCGCGAATCGAGAATCGCGCTCTCAGCTCCTCTTGCTCCTCTGCCTTCTCTTTCCCTGGACTTGTCCTCCTCCTCCTCCTCCGCCTTCCTCGCGGGCCCTTCATCCTGTCCTCCCTCTTGTCCTTCACTCGGGCTTTCCCCGTCTTCCTCCTGTCCTCTTCACTCGGGCCTTCCCCCTCACTGTCCTCCTGTCCTCTTCCCCGTCTTCCTTCCTCCTCCGCCTTCCCCTTGTCCATCACTCGGGCCGCTAGACCTGGGCGGTCGCCATTTCCTCGCACCTCCTCTCCCTCCCCAGGCCTCCCTTCCCTTCCCCCCTTTCCCCCCGCCGGCTCCCTCTGACTCCTCCGCCCTTCCCTGGCCCAGGTGCTGGCGGCGCGGCGCTGAGGGCCGACGCGGCCCGGAGCCCCCGCGGCTGGGCTGGCGGAGCGGGCCGCCGCCACCTGGGGGAGTTCAAGGAGGGAGAGGAGAATAGGAAGGGCGCAAGAGGAGAGGGAGGGAGAGGTAGAAAGAGAGAGAGAGAGAGAGAGAGAGAGAGAGAGAGAGAGAGGGGGCTGGAGGGAGGGGATGGAGGATGGGAGGCAGGGCGGGGCCCGGCCGGGGGGTAGAGGGAGAGAGGGTGAGAGGGATGGAGAGAGGAGGAGGGCCCCGCCGGCCCCGCCTGTCGTATAACATAACAGCCTCGTCGCGTCGTGGACTCGAGCGCCGAGCCCGGCTCGGCGCGCAGCCGCCTGGCAAGCGCAACAGAAAATGCTGCTTTCCACCTTCCGTCCGTGGCCCGCCTGCCTCGCTGCGACGGTTGTGCGATGTACGAGTTGTTGTCTTGCAGGGCGCCAGGGCCACAGGGGCCAACCTCCCGGCTTTCAGGAGGGCTCTAAGGCTCTAAGGGGGGATGGGATTCCGGGGCCACTCTTGGGGGTAAATCCGTACATCCGTACATCCGCGGCAATCTGACAGGGGCCACCCTCCTCAACCTGCACCTGGGGGAAGATCTCCAATACTGTTGCCACGGTTGCCTCCTGGATGCATGGCCCCGAGAGGGCTCCAAGGGCCTTAAGGGGGCGGATAGATTCCTCTCTGGGAGTTCTGGGGCCAACGGCCACTCCTGGTGGCATCTCGGTGGCAATCTGGATCTTCTGAGTTCCGCGAAGTACCAGCGTGGCCGAAGGAGGGGCCGTGAGGATCCCCGCGACTAAACGTCAACCTCGATTCGTCTCACGATGATGCGATGGCGGCGACGATGTACGTATGTATACGAATTATGTATACATGTAACAACGTATGCAAGGCTGCAATGACGATTATATAAGTACTGATGTTACGTATGCGAGGTATGTATGGGGGGTACTTACGTATGCGTATATATGCAGCCCCTGTATGCATGTATGCAGGTTATGTGTGCATCCCATGTATGTATGTTGTATGCCGTAAGTAGTGAGTATTATTGTACGATGCACGTACGCATGAGGTGTGTAGCATGTATGATGGCTGATGCACGTATGTACGATGTACAAGTGTATGCGTGTGTGTGTGGTGTTTGTGTGTATGTTATGTGTGCAACTTGTATATGTTGCTCTATGTACTTATGATATGCATGCGATTGTTTTATGTATATGCATGTGCATACGTACATGTGCATGTATGTATGTATATGCTTATATGTAGACATGTAGTGTGTAAATGACGATGCTTGTATGAACGTATGTGTTTGTATATGTATACGCATGCGGTGATGCTTATGTATATGTGTGTACGTATGTATGTTCGTACCACGTATGCAGATGTGCGTATAACGTATATGTATGTACATGTATCCAGTGTGCATAATATGCCTGCGCTGTTCGCGCTTCGACCAAACTTCACCTCCACTCCCCCCAGGGCCCCCGCCCCTCCCCCCCCCCCCCCCCCTTCCCCCCCGACCCGCACGCGCAAGGATGTGCTGCTCAGTCAGGCGCCTGCGGCCGCGCATGTCCCAGAGCTTGCCCGTCAACAGAAAGCGGCGCGGCTCAGGCCCTGGCGCGCGTTTCCTTTGCATGGCCTTGACCTCAAGGATGCGCGCCGTGCCTTGTCTGCGTGGATTGGGGTGTTGCGTGGTCGTTGCGGTCGCATGCGCATCTGCCTCTCCCGCGCGCGGGTTGGGGCAAAACGCGTCGCGCTCGCCATGTTTGCATCCCAGCTCCGCCCGACCGCGCGCGCGGGTATCTTCTGACGCGTTGCGATGAAAACGCGCGGCTGTCGCGTCTGCGCCTGGGGGCCCCGACATAATGATGCGATGAAGATGCTGGGAGGGGGAGGGGGGGGGGGCGACGCGCATGGGGGCGCTGGTATGGACGTCCCAGCGCAGGGGTGAGGGGAGGGGGGGGGGGGGGGGGGGGGGGGGAGGTGCTGGGAGGGGGGTCCCAGCGAGGGGGGGGGGGGAGGGGGAAGGGGGACCCTGTCCCAACACAGGGGGTGCTGGGGGGGGGTCCCAGCACAGGGGGGTGCGGAAGGGGTGCTGGGTCCCAGCACAGGGGGTGCTGGGAGGGGGGTCCCAGCACGGGGGGGTGCTGGGGGGTGGGAAGGGGGGTCAGGGGGGGTGCTGGGAGGGGGGTCCCAGCACAGGGGGTGCTGGGGAGGGGGGCCCCAGCACAAGGGGGTGCCGGGAGGGGGGTCCCAGCACAGGGGGGGTGCCGGGAGGGGGGTCCCAGCACGGGGGGTGCTGGGAGGGGGGTCCCAGCGCAGGGGGGTGCTGGGAGGGGGGTCCCAGCACGAGGGGGTGCTGGTAGGGGGGGTCCCAGCGCGAGGGGGTGCTGGGAGGGGGGTCCCAGCACAGGGGGGGTGCTGGGAGGGGGGTCCCAGCACATGAGGGGTGCTGGAAGGGGGGTCCCAGCAGTTGGTGGGGGTGGGGGTGCTGGGAGGGGTGGCCCGGGGGCCCCCATGTGCGGGGAACCCTTATCCCATGCCAGGGCCCGCCGCCCGTCCCACCCCCTTCTGCCAGCGCCACCTCCCAATCAACTTTGCGCGTTGCCCCCATCTCCTCTTGGCGCGGGGAGCGCCCGCTAAAACGCATCGCCCCTTCCCCCTCGACGATGATGATGGGCAATTGCGGTCGCAACGACGGCGGCCATGGCCGCGACGACGATGTGGCGACGATGTCGGCGACAACGGCACGGCGACGTTACGACGTTTGCGACGGCGGCACGACCGAGGCCGCGACGACCGATGCGACAAACGAACACCGCCACGATCGCGACAACCACGGCCACGATTACAACCGCGACCGCCGACAACGACCGCGACGACGACGATGACAACGACGGCCACGATATCAGCGACGACGGCCTGGGCGACGATTTGAGCGAACCTTTGGGGAAGGTATCCGTCAATGCCACAGTGTAGTATCCATTTAGTCCCGCCTTTGGCTTTCTGGCGCGGTGAAGACGCGAACCGCCCAAGGTGTCGTTGATCATGTCTTCCTGCTCCCCCTGCCTGTTCCTCTCTCCCTCATCCTTACCTTCCGCCTTCCTCCCCTTCCCCCTGCCCGCCCTGCCCCTTTCCCCATGTTTCCGCTCGTCGTCGTCGTCGCCCTGCTCCTCCTCCCCCTCCTCCTCTCCTCCTTGCGAGAGGGCCCCCGAGAGGGCCTCTCGCGGTGCTGATCCTGTGGCCTCTGCAGTGTGGTGTTGTTGCACAAGTCGCCTTGCCAACCGCGGGAACGCCCCAGCCTCGAGAGATCCCAAGTTACTTGTCGACGCTAACCTGTTTCTCTCTGCCATGGCGAGGCAGTCCAGGCTGTTGTTTTCAAGCGGGCGCGGAAGGGGCAGCGGCCCGCCGCCCTCTGAGCCGCCAGCCCCAGTGCCGCTCATCGACCTAGCAGACAACCAGCCCGCCAAAGGCATCATCCTTAGGCCTGAGTTCGGCAAGCGCTTCATCGAGAGGACCCCCGAGGGATACTTGAAGGCGCGTCCGGGTCGGTTCACAATAGTGGTTTCAATATGGTCGCACTGCTGGAGCCCCTTGTTCTGTCCCGTCTTGCAATGCTAGCATGTTGAGGGTCAGATCTCAACCATTGTACACGTGATAACACTGGGTCCCATTCACCGCCCTCAACTTCTTGAGTCCTTAAATCGCCACTCGCCTTTTCACGAAGCCCCCGGGGGGGGGTCACGGGGAGGTCAGTGGGGGGACGGGCCAACCCCGCGCAAGGTGTGGGAGATGCGCCAGACTTTCTTGCCGAAGGGCTTCCTCAACCCGAAGAGCAAGAACCACTTCGCTGGATGGGTATACGTATTTCTCTGCCAGGCGAGCCGACGGAGGAGGAGGAGGAGGAAGGCGGATCAGAAGGAGGGGGAGGTGGAGGAGGAGGGAGGAAGGCGGAGGAGGAGGAGGAGGGAGGAAGGCGGATCAGAAGGAGGGGGAGGGGGAGGGGTGGATGGGGTGGATCTGTTAATGAGGATGATGAGGAGGAGTGAGGGTGAGGAAGACGCAGGCCCTGAATTCCCAAGTTAGCTTTGCAGCGGCGCCCATGCCGTTTCAGCCCTCGTCGAGCTCAGTAGGCCGCGAATCAAGAATCGGGGCCCGATAAACTCTTTCTGGGGCAGCGCCGCTGCACTTGGAGTGCCGTTGGGCCGTTGGGAATGCGCTCCCCTCGAGGTGCCGCCAGAGGAGGTCCCCGGGGCCGAAGGTGCTTGCTTGAAGGGCATCGCGCGCGGTCACATTGTAGATGAGGGGGTTATCCCAGTGCGCGACTTCAATGACTATTTCTCCAAGCACTGCACGACTTGGGACGAGATCGCTGATGTATTCTTTAATGGTCGTATCACTGAGGACGACATGGTAAAGCCTTTGCACTACTGGGTGTTCGAAGATATCCAGCTCATCGAACCCCTGTACATACCGAAGGGGGGGCGCATAACTTGGGTCGATATTCCGAATATGAACCGTGGTTATATCACGGCGTCTAACGCCCTTACCAACCCCGAGGTGCCACGGCCCAACCCACGTCAGCAACGCCCGTCCAAGGGCAAGGGCCGGCAGGTCGTCGACGACGACGACGACGACGACGAGTCTGGGACCAAGGGGGCCAAGGGCAAGGGCAAGGCGAGGAGTGCCCGGGGTCGCAGCGCGCTCAGCACGCCGCCGGGCACCAGCAGCTGCGCGGCGGCGAAGGCGGGGGGCCCCGGGGGGGCCGAGGGGGCCCAGCCGCAGCAGCCGCCCCAGGATGCCGACGACGCAGCGGCAGCCGCTCACCCGGGCTCCGAGGCAGCCGACACCCTGAGCGCCACAACTCTGGACATGTGCAACGATGCATCTGCTCAGGCGGCCCAGCAAGAGCAGGCTGACCAGGCGGCCCAGAAAGAGCAGGGGGCCCAGCAGGGGGAGTCAAGCGAGCCAGGGGGGAATATGGAGAGGGAGACGGGCCGGCAGGAGGCGCCGGAGGCGGCAGCGGCAGCGGCGGCCATCACCCCCGCATCCAGCGAAGCCGGGGCGGCGGCGCCTGTCCAGCTACAGCAGCCGCAGTGGCAGCCACAGCCGCTGGGCGGCGCGCCGCCGACGTCCTCCTTCACGGACTTGGCCGCGACGTCGTCGGTGGCGTCGGCGGGGGCCAAGTTTCCGAGCCTGCCGGCGGCGACGGGCGCAGACTCAGACCCTAAGGTCTGGGGCGGCGCCGAACCAATGCCCATCCCATCACCGATCACCGAGGGGAGGGCGGGTTAGGGGGGGGGAGGGCGGAAGGGGGAGTAAGTAGGTGAGTAGGCAGAGATAGAGAGGGAGAGGTTTTCTGCGCATGCTCCAGGTGAAAGTGTCCGTGTCCCCTGAGGGGGCCGCAGCCCGCCTCGATCGAGGCGAGAGCCTTCTCACCAATGCCACTGCGAGCCCAGTCAAGAAAGCCAGAGTGGAGGCTGGCTGCGATGATGCTCACGCTGCTGCTGACGATGATGCAGACACTGTCGCAGGCGAGCCTGGTGCCCTCGATCAGGAGATGCAGCAAATCAGCCGCGAGCTCTTTGATGATGATGATGCGGAGGGTCGGGTGATTGAAAAGCTGCGCATCCGAGACCAGGCGGTCGAGGATGAGGATGAGGGGATGCGGCCGTCCGGCCGCCTGGCCCGGGCCCTGGAAGCTCGGCGCGTGAGGCGCCTGGAGGCCTCGGCGACTTTGCCGCAGCCAGCGCCGTGCGCGCGTAAGAGCGCGAGTCCTGCCGGGCCCCAGCCGCAGCTAGGGCAGAAGAGGTGCGCTATGTTCGACTTCGAGTCTGCTGGCGGTCCGGCTGGCGGTCCACCATCTGTGCTGGCGGCATGTGGGCTGCCGCCTGGTGGGCTGCCTCAGACGCTCGCCCCCAGTGGGGCCGCCGCTGCCGAGACGGCAGCGACGGCCGGGCCGCCCGGGCACCTTCCTTGGACCAAGGGGCAGTCGTTCGATGACTTCTTGCGCGGCCCACCTTTGCCGGAGGCAAGTGTGCCCTTGGCCGCCGCAGCACCAGCAGGGGGCGCCGCGGCCAATGCCGAGGCCAAGGCCCCGCCGCCGCCGCGCCCTCACCCTGAGCCGCGGCGCAAGTGCAGCACTCCGCCGCAGCAGAAGCCGTGGGTGCACCCGTCGCAGCGGTACCCTCGCCGTCGCGGCGGGGTCCCAGTCGTTTCGTCCCTGCAGGAGGCCTTCGAGTGGCCCAAGTTCTACTTGGACAAGATGATGGCGGACCCTCTGGGCGCACAAATGAAAACGAACTCGATGGCAATCTCCACTGCCTCCACCCCTCCCTTCTTTCCCCCGCACACCCCCCCCCGCTTTCCCCGGCTCCCCTCGTCCTCCCCCAACCTTTATTTGTTTACTGCTCCTTACCATTCCCACTGACCCCATCGACCTTCCCCCTTCTCCTCCTCCTCCTCCTCCTCCTCCTCCTCATCCTCCCCCTCCCCCTCCTCTCCCTGCCCAGCCGGCCCCCGCAGGATCAGGTGCAGCTGAACTCCGACTCGAGCGAGAGGAGGTTCCTGACGGAGCTGGCGTTGAAGTTCGAGGACCTGAGCATCAGCACGGCATTTTCTGGCATCGACGCCCCGGGAGTTGCTCGCAACGACCTCGCGTGCGAGTTCGAGAGTAGGCTTCCTGGTGTCTGCGTTCGTAAGCCCGCTACCTTGCACCACATCGAGATTGACCAACAGGCTCAGGCAGAGTTGCTCCTCATGCCCAAGGAAGATTCATGCGTCTTTAAGGATATCTGTGACTTCTTCCACCCGCAGTTGGTGGCCACGGGCGTCGTGGACCACTGCAAGAAGAATACAGATCAGGCCCACAAGTTGTTGGGCCCGATTGTGAAGAACTTCAAGGCTGTCACCAATTGCGCAGACTGTCTGAGGCACGGCAAGAGATGCGTGATCACAATGGCAAAGGTCAACTTCTCAGGGATCCCCTGCATCGACTTTGCTTCGATCGGCGCGCATGAGCGCGAGGACGGGGACGCGGCGCTGGCCGTGCTGGCGTGGATCGCCTTGCGCCTCTTATTGCAGGAGCCGATCATAGTGGTGGAGAATGTGAAAGAATTCCCTACCAGCTTGTTGGCTGAGTACTTGGGCGACGGAGGGCAACACCGCGGCTTCTACTTCATCGACCAGCACATCGATACGTCGTCCAACTTCGGCCTGCCTGTGAGCCGCGAGAGGAAGTGGCTGGTCCTGACCCACCGCGTGAAGACTATGTCAGTGGTCAGCCCGGTGTCTGATTTCGTGAGGCGCTTCCACAGGGTTGTCGGGATCACTTGGAAGTCCTTCTTCGTATCCTCCGATGCCGTCGTCAAGGATGCGCTTGAGAAGTCTGCAGCTCGGAAGAAATCCAGGCACGCGATCCTCGCCGAGAAGGGGGAAGCCCCAGCCCTGGACATCCGTAATGCGGAGTCGTGGGAGCTGGCCCTCACGGAGGTTGAGCACGCGAACCTGGAGACCTACAAGGACTCGTTCCCTGGCGGCATCTTCTCCTTATACCAGACGCTCTCAAGGGGGCGCGGGTCCTACGGCTACACGGACATCATGCAGACGCTCATCAAGAACGTCGGGTACTACTGGGGCGACATGCGTCCGCAGGCGTCACGGTGGCTGCTGCCAATGGAGTGCTTGGTTTCTCAAGGGTTCCCCGTGATGCAGGAGGTCCTCCAGCGCCCGACCACGAGCTTCAACTTCGAGCGCCCGGAGGGCTCCTTGCAGCGCAGGCACTTGCATGCGCCTCCCCCTCCCCCATTCTCCTCCTCTTTCTCCCCCCCTCTGAAGTGGCGAGGTCGTGCTCCATCTTCGCCCAGGCCGGGAACTCGCAGTGCGTGCCGATCCCCGGGGCACTGATCCTCTTCGCGGCCACGCAGGTGACGAGGATGGACCAGGGCGTGGCGCGCATCAGCCGTGTCTTGAGGCAGCGCGCTCAGACTCGCTACTCTTTCGTTGATATTTGCACGCCAGCTCTTGATGTGCAATCCACCTCTTAGCCACTATTGATCCCACGCTCTTGATCTATGCTTGTGGGTTGGATTTCTCTTTCCTGTCCAAATCGCTGCTACCTGCTGCAAGCTGTCTCCCCCATCCCTCCACTTCCCCCCACCCCGACCCCGCCTCCAGCGTTCGCGTCCCGGGCCCCCCAAGTCAACGAAATAAAAAATTATTTCGTTCAGTCGTTAGTGCGACCTGGGGCCCTCGTGTCTGTGCATTTCCTGTCGGCTTGTTGGCTGCCAGCGCGTTTCTTCGGCGTTGCTTCGGCCACTCTCATCCGCTCGGCCACCCCCCGCCTCAGGCGCGCGGACGAGGAGGCGGACCGCCGCAAGCGCTACAAGGCCACGACGGGCACGCTGGTGGTGATTCCGGACTCCGACGGCCCCCAGGGCGCGTAGGCACCGAGGCGGCGCGGCAAGGCAGGGCTCAGGGCCCAGGTTTTTCAGTTCAAGGTCTACCTCTACATACCTCGTCCCATGGGGGCTGCTGCACTGCAGCCACGCTCTAGTGCTCTAAGAGCCACTGGTGCATGGCGCTATCTTTGAGGTGAGTGCTTGGCGGCCTGACGTTTACACATTGCGCGCGCATACATGTACATTCATATTTATATTGCACGCACCAGATGCAACCGCTCGCGTATATTCAGTTGTTCGTGGTTAGCATAATTCCAAGGAGTGATATGATATCAGTCGGTTGTGCATGCGTACTACTGCAAGCTTTCACCTCAAAGGCAGCCCTTAGGGCTCGGGACCAGTTTCTTTGAGTTTGGGGGCCTCGGCGGTTGGCAACATACTGCATGCGTCAGCTGCTGCGGCGCACGCCACTGGCCGCCTCAAGTCGACCCCCCGAGAGACAATTGCGAGACCGTCGGGTGCCGAGGGGGACTGCTCAGCCTTTCAATGGAGCTGTCAATGAATGGCATTAATAAACCGTGGTGCTTGTGATTGTTTTTTGTTTTCCGACTCGGGGAAGCGAGACTGGCAGCCTTCGTTAGTTCGTCACCGCCGTGCTTATTTCGGCGGGTGGGAGGGCCCCATCGGTGTCTCTGAGGCGACCCCGGTGGTGGCTCAGCAAATCGCTGGCGGGGGCGCTGGCGAGCCGGGCGCGCGGTGTGGGTAACCGCGCTGCGCCCCATAACATGTTTTCGGGGTTGGTCCCCAGGAGTAGCGCGAAGTAAGACCGAAGAAACATCGGCGCATCGCCGCGGCGAGGAGAGAGGGGGCCAGATGGGGTTAGAGGGGAAGGGGGACGGGAGGGCCCGTGGAGGGAGGCCACGTAGGGAAGGGAAAAGGAAGGAGGGGACAGGGACAGGGAAGGGGGAGGGACAAGGAGTAGAGGAGTCGAGGAGGAGAGTCAGGACACCCACGCATGCATCCCGTCCTCCCTGCCCGCGGGCCCTCGCCTCGCCTTGCCTCGCCCTCTTGCTCAGCTTCTTACCTGCCCGAAGCCTTACCCGACTCAAGTGAACGATCAGTGCGTGCTGCACCTCGTGTGCCTCTCTGCACGACGTATAACAGTTACGTGAAGGTCAATCCTACCCCGCAGCGGCGATGGCAGCAGCCGCCGGCTCTCAGTCTCAGTCCCAGGGCTCCGCCTCGGGCTCATCTCCGCAGCAGCTGGCGGCAGTGGTCAGCCCAGCCCCGAGCCTGATATCGATGCAGGAGTGGTGCGTTCGCCCTTCCCTTCGAAGGCATTGGAGCTCCAGGGGTGGGGGTGCGGTTGATAGGGTTCGACGTTTCCTGGCCCCCCGGCCCCCGGGCCCCATTTCCATCTCCGCCCCGCTCCAGAGGAGAAGATGTACGCGCCCACGGGCTCGGAGGAGACTCTCTTGGAGCTGTTCGGCCCAGCGGCTCGATGTGGGAGAAACGCTTCAAACAATAATTAACGAGGTCGGGCTCCCTGGGGCCGCTACTTCACCACCTCACCTCCTTGTTTCGGGGCCCGGGGGGACCCGGGGCCGGGGGCCGCGCTTGGCCCGACCGTGCCAACGGAACAAAAACACCGAGATTGAATGCAGCGAGCCCGCAGGGTGCGATTCGTCTCCAGAATATCTTCAAGGCATACCAGATGGGGCCCCTCACGACTGCCGGGTCAAACCGTGCCCTCCTGCCTCCACCACCTCCACCTCTCTCCCTTCTCTCTCCGACCCTCCCATTCGACCCTCTCCAGCCTCTCCCTCTCTCTCTCTCTCTCTCTCTCTCTCTCTCTCTCTCTCTCTCTCTCTCTCTCTCTCTCTCTCTCTCTCTCTCTCTCTCTCTCTCTCTCTCTCTCTCTCTCCACCTCTCCTTTCCGAGTGCCCCGCCTCTCTCGAATCTCCTGGACCCTGCCTCAAGGACCATCAAGCTGTTCGACGCATCGGGCCAGCGGCTCGTCTTTCGCGACGACTGCAATAAGAGGATCCAGGCAGCCAGCCAGAGCCCGAAGCATTCAACACTCGTCCTGCCTCCTCCTCATCTCTCACCCTCCTCATCCACCTCGCCCCCTTCGTCCCCCCCTCCCCCGTCCGCTTCTCCCTCCCCTCCATCCCCTATGCTGCTGCCACTGCTGATTCGGCTCTCAGCAGGCAACAGTGGACCAAGAGCTGCGCAAGTCAATCGCCGAGAGGGGCTTGGTCCCGGGCGTGGCCGGGGAACCGTGGATGCGCCTCAGCAGCAAGGAGGTGGCCGAAGGGCCGAAACTGTTACCCCCTCCTGGTAGGCCACTAGGCGCTAGGCCCAGCAAGCAACTCGAGCAGCCCCCAATCAGTGCTTACACTGCTGGTGAGAGTTCCCAACCAGCGCTTGCATTGCACGGGGTCCTAGCGGTCCTCCCTCCTCCCCGACCCCTCCCCCTCCACTCCACATGCCGCTAAGACGCCTGGGCATTTTGCTTTGATCTAGCCTGGGCCTCCAAACGCCCTCCCCGACTCTGCCGACGCGGCCCAGTCTCTACTGATTCTCACCTCTCCCACATCTACCACCGAACCGAACCCCCGAGCCCCTTGTCCTTTAGCCTGCCTTGCCCGGCCGCCCCTTGGCCTCGCCACTGCGCAGGAGCCGCCGTGCAAGGCCGTGACGTTCGGCGGCAGGTCCGACGCCTTGCATTGGTTGGCAGAGCACGCGAAGGGCAACAAGTTCTTGCAGGAGGCATTCGGACATTCGGTTCGTTCGCATCGATCTCTCGATCTCGACTCGACCCCGCGGCCCCGGGGCGCCCCCCTCTGGAAAGAGAACGCTTCAAAATGACCGCAACAATGCATTCGTCAGTGCTCAGAGGCCCACGGCCCCGGAGAGGGCGCGTAGGAAGGCAAGGGGAAGCAGGGGGGGGCCGGAAGGAGGATGGCGTGGGAGGGGGGGGGAGTGGGAAGGTGGACGAGGAAGAAAGGGAGGGACTGGGAGGGAAAGATAATGGTCTGATAATGGTGGCCCCTCCCAGCGCAGCCCCGAGCCCAGGTGCTTCTGAATGGCGTGCCGAACGTGCGGCTGCTGACGTGCAGGATGCCCGTGTGGGTGCGATCGCACATGAAGGATTACCATAACCAGTTCCATAAAGGGAGCGCCTATTCATTCCTGGAACTCTTCAAGGAAGTCCCTGAAATGGAGGCGGGTTCCTGTCGCAATCATTCTCATTGCCGCTCGCCCACTCACTCACTCACTCACTCACTCACTCACTCACTCTCTCTCTCTCTCTCTCTCTCTCTCTCTCTCTCTCTCTCTCTCTCTCTCTCTCTCTCTCTCTCTCTCTCTCTCCTCTCTCTCTCTCTCTCCTCTCTCTCCCTCCCTCCCTCCCTCCCTCCCTCCCTCCCTCCCTCCCTCTCCGCTCTCTCTCTCTCTCTCTCTCTCTCTCTCTCCTCTCTCTCTCTCTCTCTCTCTCTCTCTCTCTCTTTCCCTCTCCCTCGAGTCGTCTCTCTCTCTCTCTCTCTCTCTCTCTCTCTCTCTCTCTCTCTCTCTCTCTCTCTCTCTCTCTCTCTCTCTCTCGGAGCGCTTGGACCTCTCTCCCTCCACCTTTCTCTGATCAATAGGCCCCCCTCCCCATTCCTGCTCCGAAGAATCGGCCAACCGCGCCTGCGCCGTGCGCGAGGGGTGCGACCTGCGCCGTGCGCGAGGGAGGAGAGGGGCCCCCCTCGTCCTTTCTCGGAGCCCCGTCCCTTCCCCCCCCCCTCCCCCCTGCCCCCCCCCCCCCCCCTGCCCTTTCCCCTTCGCCTCCCCGACTCGGCCCTTACTCCTCTCCCCCCTCCCCCCGCAGGCAGCGTGGGAAGCTTGGAAGGAAGCGAACTGCCCCACTCTGAACACGCGCAGCCCTGGCTATACTACAAAGGTCTGGTCATTTATCAACACGAACTACGCCGGGAAGCTGCGCAGCAACAACCAGTTCGAGCAGGTCAGCACGCTGTTGAATCATTGGGGCAAGCTGGGCATCACCGAGGAGCTGTTCGAGTATTTCGGGGCCCGCTGCGAGTTCATGAACCAGCGCCTTTCCACGGACAGCGTGATCAGCCTGATGTACACGGCCCGACGGGGCTCGGGCCACCCCTCCCCTCCCCGCGGGCCTGGGCCCGCCGGCGCTTCGATTTGATTCGTTTGCCGCGGGTCGCAAAACCTTTGGGACCTCGTGTTGTTTCGGGCCCTGGGGCCCAAGGGCCCCAGGCTGAGGGCCGAGGCCCGAGGCTGGTGGCCCCCCAGGGGGCCATT